TCAAGGTTGTACAGACACTTTATTGTTGTGTTTCAAACAGCAGTGAACCTGGCTGCAGCTTTTCCAGCTTCCATTTGGAAACTGGTTCATTTCCACACGTTATGTGTTCAGTTTCGAAGTGATACACGCTACTAAAAGCATTTTGAAATAAAGAAGTATTTACAGGCTTATAAACATGAAAGTTGTTAACACTGAATAAACATCTGTTTATTTTAGTCTAGGAATTAGCTTTAAAAAAATTAGTGTTGAGAAGTGTGGTTCTGGCAGCTGAGTAAATTTTACTACCCTCTTTGAGTCATTATATCTTTAAATTTTGATGAAAAATAATGCAGGATTTTTGTCAATCTTGGTCACATTTCTTCCAGTGCATACTTCTGAATAAATCTCTTGAGACAGATGCTGTCACTTAACCTTTATCAAGAAGAGTTGCTTCGTAAATCCGCTATAACACTCAAGTCTGTTGAACAAAATCCTGACTAGTATTTGTTTGTTGCTCAGTGATCTTTGAAATACTGCTCACTTCATATATTTGAAACACTTACAGTCTTTTTAACTTATCAACTTGTCTTTTAATAAATAGACCTAGAAGACTGAAGTTTTCTTCACAGTTTTATCCCATTTGCTTTTTTGAAAGTTCAAAATAGTTTTGTCCTGAGATAATATAGATTTCAAGATACAAACATGTATACATACATGTCTTCCATGTACCATGGATAAGATATGGCGGTATTAGTGATTGATTTCACTATACTCACTTTTAAATCGAACATGATTGCATAAGGGAACACCAATCTTCGTTGGAATTCGTAGTCACTCATTAATCGCATTGGATAACGTATTTAAAAAAGAAATTAAAAGCTTTATGTAAACTACATCAATATATTAATGATGGATGGCATAATTTTTATACTAGTGGGAACAAAATCAGTTACTGTGAGGCAGGTACATTTGGCTGACGAATGGTTAATAAGATGAAATATGTATCTCAGATTCCGTTATTGGCCACAGTCTATCACTAATGTTAAAGGTGAAAATTCTGGCAATTTTGAAGCATCCACGAATAAACCTATATGCCAGTGGTGGCTGATCAATTCCATCCAATCAAGAGGGGGGATTTAAAAGTTATATTATCACAACTATATTAAGATATTCTATCTAGAGGTTTGTGGAGATTTGTTAATTGACTCAGTGTTGAAATTCATCATGGATTGCCGTCAGTTGGAGCAACATCGGAAACCTGAGAGCACTGGATAGCTGTTTCGTCTGGTATAGGACTCCTCAGTGGGAATCCAATGGTCCATAATTCCTACTTCTGTCAGCTCACGATAAAGGGCGACCTACGTCAGATGTCTTTGTTGAGTAACTGTCTTCATGTTCGACTTGACTGACTTCACTGGTCACAACTTCTCATTGGAACTTCAGGAATTATCTGTCGAAGTGAGTCACCAACGAGTGATATATATATATTTTAAATCCTTTTAAGGCAGCTTAATTCAATCAAATGGTTCGACAGTTATCTCTGTCGACTTATAGACTGAAATACTAGTCAGTAAAAGTGATATATCACAAAGAAAGAGAATTTTTTGATTGGAAAAGTACAAGCCGTTCACTTTTTCAGCAAAATATGAAAATTTTCCTTTCACTTAATATGCAGACTGTTTTAAGAGCAATCCTAAAGAAACCATGACCTCAAATAAATGTGTTTGTCGTCACCCAAAAAAGTAAATGTTTGAATCTCAAAAAAAGTCAGACTTATCGTGAAATTCTTAATAACAGCATCGGGCAGGTGGATCTAAGGTATTTGCAGTGTGTTAGTTGGTTGAAGGTAATCGGTAGAAAGCCCTGTACCTGGGTCTCTTCCTCGTTGGCACTCTTCAGAAGGGCGTATCTGTAACCTCAACGATGTTGAGCCTCCTAGCTTGATGGCCACATTGTAAATACGATCGACAGAGTTCAGTCTGCACTCAGAGCTAGACAACATGAAATTGGTTGTTCTCCCACTACCAATGGGTTATATGTCCATAGTTAGTCGACAGAAAGCCCAGGACCTAAGTCTCATGCTTGTTGGTACACTTTAGCAAGGGTTACCATCGGTTTATTATTCAGAATATGTTTGACATACAGCTATTTATGAATTATTAAAAACTATAGAGCATCAAAGAGATCTATGGCTCATATTCATTTATCTTGGTTACTATACTTTACGGGTTGACTGATTAATGTCAGTCATATTCAAGAAAGCAGTTTAGATTTCTTCTGAACATTAGGCTATATAATAGGTAAAGAGATGAACATTCTTTCTTTTTCATGTATAATAAAAAGTAACTCGTGATCAGACTGTATCTCATTAGCTTTCACCGGAATCGTAGAAGTTAAATCTTTTATTGAAAAAAATCTTTTCTCTAGACATGAAACAGATCTCTAAAATTTGCCTAGACAGTAATAAGTGCGAAGCATTGCGAAGAAAAAAAGTTCTGCATGATAATTATGGAAAGACGAATTCACATGATCTATTTTAAATGGCAGTATAACAAAAAAAATGATGTAACCACGGGCATAGTGCTAAGTATCTGCACGGTCAGTAACTGCTTACACAAAACGCTAGCAAATTATTATTGCACAATTACAAATAGGCTTCTTAATAGATCATATTCTTTGAAAGCTTCGTTAACCAGTATATAACACTGCTGTATTTTTGAAACAGTATCAGGCATTTTTATCTGCCACAGAAACGAATCACGCAGATGCTCTACCAACTGAGATAATTGACTCAACTGCACACCAGATCTTAATTTCACTTACGAAGGGTTTCACCTGATTGACGGGTGGATTCTTGATGCGTTAGTGTTGGTTCATAGTATTGAAACTAGTTGCCCAACTAGAACTTCTTGTTCCAATCCAAAGTGAGCTGAATTAGATACAGAAAGCATCATATTCACGATCAGTTCGACTATTTGCGATAGACGCCGTTTGACACTTGTATTATTGACAACAGGTGGTGATTGAAGGTGACGTGGTAATCTAGACCGCGGCAGGATTCGAACTAGTAGTCTTTAGGTTACCGGCCTGTCGATGAATAGACAGTAACATGCCACGAATTCACATGGCAGTCTGGTGAAACTCTTTATGATTGAAGGGAAGTTAGGTCTGGTTAGAAGCCAAGCACTGGTGCTCTGTTGGTAGAGCACCGGGCCAGCAACCCGGAGGACGCTGTTTTGAATCCTACAGTGACATATATTTCCCCTTCATCTCCAATCATCGCTAAGAATCAGCAATACAAGTCTGTCAAACCACTGGCATTCTGGTAGTCAGAGTGACAAAGCTATTTCTCACTTTAAAAGTTTTGAATGTTGTAGACTAATGGATCCATATACAAAACCCCATAAATACAATATTCCCACTAAACGTCTGTGAGCATTTTGTTTTTCCAACATTAGCACAGATAAACTCGAAGCTGCATACAGAATTGGTTCATAGCTGATATTTGTTTCTATTGTATTTAGTTGTCGTGTTCCGATATTCATTATGCTGTGTGCTGAATACGGTTCAATACACCAACTATAAACTTATGAGTAGTTGTAATGTTTAAGTTTATCTTATCTATCTTTTATTTAGCCTAATTCTACTTCAGCTGACATTTCCCAAGAGCATAAGTGGTAACTAGGTAAGCATAACACATGTTCCACCACATGAGTTGACGAAGGTTGGCAAACTCATCAAATGATGTTCTTCTTACATGCAAAACTATGTACCTTGTTTCTACGTTACTCATATGGTGGTTCCATGATATACTCAATGCTCTGAAACCAACGGTAATCGAACACCTGAAGCCTTCTCATGTCCTCTACCTTTAAAGTTTGCTTTCACAGCTATATAGTAGAACTGTAAAGCGATGAAATCGACCCTTAACAGTCAATCGGATAAGAATAAGACATCATAAATGGTGTAATTTGGCAAAGACCAAGCGATCCTGTTGTTTCCGTGCAGAGACCTAGTCGGTTCCTGACTCACCAGGGCTGACTCGACTTCTAAGGTAAGTGAATTGAGAAACCAGCTCAGCCTTTTCAATCCTTATTATCAGACGAAGCACCGGGAAAATCAGTCGTGGAGGAACAATTTGCATTTAAGTGGTGAGAAACGCATTAAAAACAGTCGCCAGAACACTCTTTACTGTATCAGCATCTTCACGTCATCTGTATACTTTGGGTTCACTTGGGAGTAAAAAGAGCAGTGAATATCCCTAATGGATACAATTCGACGTATAGAATTCACCTGATAACTCACCAAACACTATAACAAACCCATGAGGGTTTGAATACCGAGCTTTCGAAAAGACAACTCACTAACCTGACACTCTTACCAGTGAGAAACGTTACCATAAAACATATTTTAGGTCAATAAATATAGCTAGTGTCGGGCGGCGGTAGATGTACCTACGTTCCATAGCCTGATTGCAATAATCTGATAGAACTTGAATGCTGGAAAAGTTGTGGGGGCAGTTGATACCTGCCGGCTTCCGCACGGCGGAAGGTCACCTCTTCTTGAAATACCTAGGAAAAATTGCATCATCTATAAAGGTGAGTCACTAATGAGTCCAAGAGATATCTACTTGAGATCCGATACACACAGCTTTTTAGGAAAATTTGGAATTAAATCAGGTCATCTTAAATCCAGCTGGAAAACTCTAATGGCCGGTACCGAAACATCACAGGGCAAGAGACAGTGTGGTATTTTGGGGGCCAACTTTTTATTCCTCTCCTTCTCATAAGGAAGGCAGCATCAAAATACCACCACTGGTAGTCCGCAACAAACTTTACTGATGTCACAAACCCGTCCAGTATGAACTCGCCATCAAACCCCACTATAAAGTAGTTATTTACACCATAACGATGATTGGTTTTTGTCTTACCACTATCCAACACGACTTTCTGGTATGGTAGGACCTCAAGAAAACAAATTTTCCCATCAGTATAGATCTTTGGATCATTATGCTGTGCAAACTCGACCATCACGACAAGGTAGCCAGCTATCAGTTGCACCAACTAGTCACACCTCATGAATGGCGACTAAAGAAATAACCACAGGTTGTAGAGGTGTTCAAAGTTCCAATGGACTTCACCACTACAATTTCTAGTTGGAAATTGCAGGCATGAAAAAGTGTTAATTTCGAATAATATTAGTTGGTGGTAAATGTGAGGTTAGGAACACTGAAGTGACAAAACATTAAGACAACAAAAAATCAGTACAGCAGGCAACCTACCCAATGAAGTCTTATTCACCACAGACAGTGGGATATGAGATAGAATCGAGTCACAAACAGCAGATAAAATTGAAGGTGAGGATGAAATACTCGGTGTAATAACGGTGTTTTCAGATGAATGGTTTGTTAGGATTTCTAAAGGCATAAATGATGTATGAATGGCTGGAGGTTTAGAGATTTCAGATATGTGAATTGGTGTCGCTGTCGGTAGGCTTTGTGATGAACAGGTGGTTAGATAAACAACGCTATCAGATTTCATACAGGGATTATGAATAAACGCAGTATTATCATAATATTTATGTACATTGTTCAAAGAGGAATCCATTTCATCATTGGTAGACAGCATGTTACTATTTACTACTGAAATAATGGGTGAAAATGTTGGAATATTACTATTGTTTTTGTTCGATGAAGAAATGGACGGATTCAACGGATATGGAGGTATTGATGAAGTAGTATGCAAACAGTTGAGATGAATTCGATTCATTAGAATATTCTGAATAGATACTAGAACAGTTTGAATTTCTAAAAATTGTTGTTTCAATTGATTGACTTCTTCAGATAATCTGCTTTGCTGAAAAAAAGGATATTCAACTCTTACAAATATACATGAATTAAACACAAAATGAACTTTTCATCTAATTTACATTGTTCGTATTTTAAACTATTAAAATAGCTACTGATAACTAAATAATAATCAAAAAAGTGTGATTTAATCCGTCTGATCCTTATCGCATGTAGACAGCAAAAACATTTCCATGACAGCTAGGCTGACGAAGGTATATTCATTGATGTATCTCCTAGCCAGCAGACTGCTCGCAACTGAATGATTTCCTATCTACTGTTAGACGATGGTCCTTCGAGAATGGTCTTATGCTTGATTCTTTAAAATGTCAGACCATAAATTTTAGTTTTAGATGTAAATATGACTTGTGTAAACTGCTTAGTTCTCATGATTCCTGTCCTATTGATACCTGCGCATTACACAATGTTACAAATGTGGTTTATCGTGGTGTATGTTTTTCTTCGAACCTTTCTGATCTTCCCATACCATACTCATTTCCGAAAGAAATTTCCACCTTACTTTCTAAATTAGGAAGCTGACAGTATCTGGTATTACTCAACCTCTTCCCTTGTGTTTCATAAACTCCTGTATATTCCCTGTTCTCCTCCTCTATTGTTCCCCTTTATTTTCTCCCGGGTTGCTAAAAAAGACTATGCTATATTGCCTTGAACTTTGAAGATTATCAGCAGAACCAGTGGTGTACCCCTTAACCTTCTAGTTAAAACTGTTGTGCACAAGCATATTAACTCGTGTAAGCATCTGACAGGAGTTATTTTATCAGATGACTAGCATCCTTTTATTTCAAACCTCTCTACGTGTTGGCCATCTGGAAAGATGAGAAGCAAGTATATAAGATTCTATGCACTTATACAAAATATAAAAACTTTACGATACCGTATTTAACTCACCTACTGTGTGATGAAGCAAGTATTAGAAATGAACTAACGAACTGATCAACTTGTGTTTTGAAACCAAACTCATGAAGATGAGCGCGTTACTTTTTACGTAGTATGAATCTAATTGCAAATGTGATTGTCTACCTAAACTGACTGTGTATTTTCAAGAAAGTTGTAGATACAGCGAATATTCTTATCTTTTTTTATGATATAATTTCTACTTATTTCATTTTGCCGTGTATACATATACACTATCCATTTCCAAATTGTGCTGTATGACATGCTGAAAATTCTGTAGAGTATTCCCAAAATGACTTTCAGAATAAAGCCATTATTATTATTGGATTCCACTGCTGGCCACCATCCGTCATTGAGATCAATATTCATCTGCAAAATATACGTCATAAAATTATCAAATGCAAATGTGTAATTCATACATATTTCTAATAAATTTTCAGAGTATAATGTAGGATAAGCATAAGTTAAGTCAGTACTTAACCTTTAGATAATACCTTTTTTGAAAACTACGTGTTAGTTACTAAAAGTCAATAAAATCATATTTTCTGTTAAAAGAATTCATCGAAAACATGAAATTCTGTGAAGATTGTTCGTTCCATTAAATTTATTCTCAAGCTGTACATCTGTATACATATGATATTTAAAGACTGCAATTCGTGGAAAAAATTTAATTAAGATAATGGGAGATTTAAATAACAATAACAATGATTATAGTTATAATAAATAATATTCCTAGTTTATGATGTAGAGGTTGAATGGTTACAAAAAGCGGTTGCATGGGATATTTTATTCGTTCATAGGGTACTTATTAGATAACAAAGGGATGAAAACATGGTAGTGTTAATAAACAAAAAATGATTAGATAATGGGAATGAGACGAGTTATTTGAAATAAGATGAAAACATGTCGTTAAAAGATTCACTTATCAGTTTAAGTATCTGAAAAAGCCGCGGTTTGACAGACTTGTTTCACTGATACTACGTAGCGATTGAAGGTCGAATAAAAATCTCACTGGTGGAAGTATTCGAACCAGCAGCCTCCATCTTTCCCTTTCAAGGGTTTTACCAACTGAGTTAAAGACGAAGCTGCTGATTAGATCTTAATTCCACTTCAGGTTTCATAGCTCAAGCGGTACGGTGCCAGACCAGTAATCCAGAGATTGTTTCAATCATTACCCAGTATCGAAAGTTCCAGTTATTGAGAAGATTAAGTGAAGTAACACCGGAAACTATCAAATGTAAGAATAACACTGACGGTGATGGTGGGGGAGTGCAGAGAATGTAATAAACTAAAAAAGTCGTAGAAACGAAACAAAAAGATGACAAAAGTGAAATTATAAAGCCAAGGTGAAGAAAAAGACTGTAGTTATTTATTTTCACACATTGATCATGCTTCGGTACATGAACAGCCGAATTCTCTGCTGGTTTTAAAAGTTGGAAACGAACAATACGTGAATGAATCATTACTACAGCACACTGTTTAGGCTAGAAAGTGTTTTTAAAGCGTCATTCAACCTCATCTGAACTTGTTTAACTCAGTTATATCCAAAAACAAACGACTGTGTATTTCATAATATTTTCCTACCTATCAACAACCAACAACAAGCTCCAGTCACCATCAACGAAAGAAACTTACAAGAAGTAGTCTCTTTCACCTATCTAGGCAGCATCGTTTCAACTACAGGCTACGGCACAGACGAGGACGCCAAAGCCACGACCGAAAAAGCAAGATAGGCGTTCATTAACCTAAAACCAGTGTGGAGATCTACTGCCTGAACTCAGCATGTGGAACAGCATCCGGATTTTCAACACCAACGTCAAGTCACTGCTTCTGTATGGTTCAGAAACTTGGCGCGTTACGAAAAGCATTTCCAACAAACTACAGACATTCATCAACAACTGCTTACGCTCGTTACTGAAGATCAGATGGTCAGAATAATCAGAATAAGCAACAAGAAACTCTAGTCTGGTAACGAACCAACTAAGAACCTCTCAACGAACAAATAAGCAGAAGGAAGTGGAGATGGATTGGGTATACACTGAGAAGGCCGACTGGGGACATCATGCGTCAGGTCAGGTCGTCGAGTGGAACCCAGATGGGAAACGACGAGTTGGGTGTCGGTGTCGAGGGTGACATGGAGGAGATCATGTGAGGAAGAAATGAGAGATTCTGAGCAGTGGTGGAGCCAGACTCAAAAGACTGCAGAGAAGAGAGTGCAGTGGAGACGTGCTACTGAAGCCCTATGTTCCATTAGGAACCTAAGGGGCAAATAATAAATAATAATTCGTTAAGTTGTATATTTAGTGACTGAATGACAAAGAAATTATTCTACACTTAACTAAAGTCAGATCTATACAGTTCTGGTTAGTTGAAATATCTTCAAAAGTTTAATTTTTTTCACTTTTCTTGTTCAGAATATATCAATATTATCAGTACTACATCCAAAGCTACACGGCGCTGTTCTTCATTTGGAAGTGAATAAACATGAAGGCACTAAATAGACGCGTTGTCAAAACTTCAAAGCATAAACAAAATTTTTAAAACGTAACAGTCAAACTAAAAAACAACTGACCAGCAAACAGACATCGATATCGTTTTTTAAGTAATGAAATAAAGGTTCTTAGACAGTTATTTTTATTCAGTGTGAATCATAGTCGGGGCGGAAAGATGAATAGAAGAGAGAAATTAAGGAATAATAACTCATGGATGAAAATATTTAGCAGGAGTTCATGATCAATGCTGTTTAAGGTCAAAAATGTAGGGAATAGTACAGAAAAGTAAAATCAGTCGATAAGCCTCAAATCAGACCAAAACCTCTTTCATAACTTTCCTCAAAGACAAATCACTTTTGACAGACATCTCTATGTGACCTTCCAAACTGAAAGTAATCATCCAGTCAAGAGTGAATAAAAAAAGCCGTAGATTCACAAGCCAGATAAAAAACTAGTATAAATTCTCACAATAAATCACGTTAACCTATTTCCTAGGAAGTTGCAGTGAACAGGATGACTATTATGTTTGAAAAGGTTCTAGCACAAACATATGCAGCTCACAGTATTAGTTCATCCTGACATCAGTTTTCTGAGCAATAAATTACTAAAACAATTTCGAAATCATAGGTTAACTATGAAACATTATGCACACATAGTTGTCATGGTCCTTATGCAAACTAATAATCAGTCCGTAACTACGGCGAGTGGAAAAATTCAATATAAACGTCATTGATTATTTGTGACAAAGTAAGTGATTCAGGATGCGCATTTTACCGTGGCTACGACCGGTAATGGTACCTAGCAGTCTACAAGCGATACGAATCTAACGCGCAAAAGAATCTACTCTAATCAGTAATCAAAAAGTCAACCACTACCGCATCAATACTATCGACACGCGAAGACAAGAAGAAAAGACTGACTGTTGGCGAAAAGCTTCAATGAGTTCAATGCTGAATATATATATATATATATATATATATATATATATATATATATATTGGGTGAACAAAGGTTACTTAAACTTATCTAGAAATAGTATGAAGTGAGAATAAATATTAGCAGTAAAACAATATTACATACTTTTAATTATATCGGAATTACTCCCTTCTTTTTCTTTACCACTGATTTGATCATTATAGAGCTTAATCTTTTCACTTTGTATATTTAGAATCATACACTGATTGATCACTGGAGAGGAACGGATCTCATGTTGTCTAGTTTTGAGTGCTGACCAAATTCATTTTGCAAAATGGCCACTAAGCAAGGAGCTCACCATTACGATATGCTCTAGTGGATGTTGGTTAGTTGAAGGTGATAGGCAGAATGCCCTAGACTTAGGTTTGGTGCCTGTTGGCACTCATCAGTAAGGTGAATCTACACCTTGGAGGAACAAGCATGAAACCTAGGTCTAGCGGGACTCCTTGACGATTGCCTCCAACCGACTCACTTTTTCAATCAACTCTTCACCGATTTATTGAGTCACCTCAATTTATGATATTGAAAAAATCCACGAAACCTAGGTATCTGTTAATCGAGTGAGGAATTATCATCAAGAAACTGTAGATGTAGGTTTCATTGTTGTTGGCACTTATCAGCAAGAAGTT